TGTAAAGTCTAGGGTTTAGGGTTTAGGGTTAAAGTTTTTGGGTTTAGGGTTTTGGGGTTTAGGGGTATTTGTCCAAGTCTCTTGCATACCAGGTCTAGTTGCAGGGAAAAGGCATCTCGATGTCAAGTCGAGGGCTGTAGGATGGAGGATTCAATGCAGAGGATGTCGGGCTTAGTGTCTACCTATAGTCTCCATTGTAGTTCCTTTTTGGGGAAACCTTATAGAATCCTTAATATATAATTGGTTAAACCAACAAAAGGAACTACAATGGAGACTATAGGTAGTGCCCAGGTTTCCAGGTTCACAGCTTTAGCGTACATAGCCCTCGTAGGATCTACAAGCCCTAAACCCTAAACCCTAAACAATCTTAGGTTCAAAGCAGCTACAGCCGGCAGGCTGCGCAAGGGATGCTGCATTCATCTGCAAGAAGTTCACGCCACTCATCTCCATATCGCCTTTGCTTTCAATCTGAAGGGTTTAGGGTTTAGGGTTTAGGGCTTAGGGCTTAGGGTTTAGGGTTTAGGTTTTAGGGACTTTCCCGCTTTCATGTTGAGGGTGCACCGCTATGAGGTTTGGCGACTGGGCTTTAGCAACCAGGGGAGCTGTTCGTTGTAGCTAAGCACGGAATTCTCTTGCCTTGAAGCCTCTACCCAAAGGGCCCTGGGTACTGTTATAGGGGATACTGTCCCCAATCATAATTAGGGTTTAGGATTTAGGGTTTAGGGTTATCATAATACCTATAATATTCCTAATATAGAAACCCTGCATCCTACTATGTAGGTACATTGGGCCCTGTGGGCCTGAAGCCTCTAAACCTCTTGTAACGATTGAAAGGGCTCCCGTAAACAGCAGCACTTGAAAGCCCTGCAGGGCAGTGATACCGAAGTACAGAATGTGAAGAACCAGCGCGCATAGAGTGGTGTAAACTTTAGACATGCGTGGCTTACCCTAAGCCCCAAAGCCCAAGCCCTAAACTCTCAACCTCAAAGCTCTTGATTCTCATAGCTTTGTCTTAGTGTCGGCCCATGGAGCTAGACAAGCAGCAATGTAGCAGGTGTAGGGCTTTGGAATGAGGCTTAGGACGAAACGAAGGTCTAAGTCTAATCAAGGGGCCGTAATAATTACGAACAGGGTCTTGGGGGTCTAATGTACTATAACTATAATAAGGAACCCCCGAAACCCTATTCTAATTATTACGGCCCCTATATTACCCAGAGCCTCCGTTAAAGGCAACCTCTCAAGTCACTTTCGCTGCCGCATTCTTGCGCAGCCGCACGTAGCAGGAAGAACAAGGTCAGAAAGGCAGCGCAGGCGGACGCCATCATGCGAAGGACTTACCGCCTAAGCACGAAACACCCACACTTCAAGTCACAATAGAAGGGCAGTAAGGTGCTGAAGCTCCGGTTTCAGGGAGTTCGGGAGTTAGGGATTCGGAGATGATGCAAGGTTTATACTGTTGGGCGAGTTGAGGCTAGGGCTATAGGGCTATAGGAGGCAGGGGGGATATGAAAAGGGGCACAAAAGGAGATCGAAACTCCCTAAACCCCATAAACCCTACAAAACCCTATAAACCCTGCAAAACCCTATAAGCCCTCAAAACCCTATACACCCTACAAAACCCTATAAACCCTACAAAACCCTATAAAACCCTACAAAACCCTACAAACCCTAAACCCTAAAAGCCCTAAACCCTAAACCCTAAACCCTACAAAACCCTAAACCCTAAACCCTAAAAGCCCTAAACCCCAACAAAACCCTAAACCCTAAACCCTAAAAACCCTAAAACCTACAAACCCTAAACCCTAAAAACCCTAAACCCTAAACCCTAAAAGCCCTAAACCCCAACAAAACCCTAAACCGTAAACCCTAAACCCTAAAAACCCTAAACCCTGAAAACCCTAAACTCTAAAACTCGGTTCGGTTGCAGCCGCCTTTGGGGCCTATGAGCCGGAACATCGCAAGGGGGCCGCGAAGCCCTGAAGCCACAGCCCCGACCCAAACCCTAACCCCGAAAAACCTAGAGCCCTAATATAGGGGCCTCAATAGTTAGAATAGGGTTTGCGGGTATACTATACTATAATCATAATAGGAACCTCCTCAAAAAAAACAAAAAATATTCTAATTACGAAGGCCCCTATATTAAGTTACTAAATCCTAAACCCCAGAACCTCTACTCCTCGGACCCTCCACCTGATCTCGACCCTAAACCCTAAACTGAAATCCTGATCTCTTCATCGCAAATCCTGTTGGAGCCTGGGGCAAATTTGACTGAACTTCCAGTAAAGGCGCCTTACTGATCAGATTTTTGCGGGTGAACTGTTATACCATATTAGAACAGTGGACAAACAAAAAACGGTCGTACTATTGCTAGTTCTTCCGCTCCCCCGTACCCTATGCATCCACAAACACCGAAACCTCAAGAAACCCAGCAGGATCGTGTGCAGCCGTTGCATGCGTCCAGAACAAAGCAGCCATGAGCCTCGAATCGTAAAGCCCTACTTGTAACCTCCTGAGACTGCTAGGTTCCCCAGTAGCCCCTAAATAATACCAAATAATTAGGGTTTAGGGTTTAGGGTTTAGGGTTTAGGGTTTAGGGTAAGGGCACCCTTTTTCCTACTCTTTGGTTTTATGAAGGGAACCCAAAAAAGGAAAAAGGGCAAAAGCGCACTACTGGGGAACCTAGACTCTGAGACAACGCAGAGTTCAAGCCCTAAGATCCCAAGGTCTCAACGCCGTAAGATCTCTCTGCCTAGAGACCCCAAGCCTCGAGACTTCATGTAGGGCCCCAAATAATTACCTATACTCTTTTGGTGGGGGTTCCTTATTTTGATTATAGTATCATGGGCCCCAAAACCCTATTCTAACTAGAATAATTACCTATACTCTTTTTGGGGGTTCCTTATTATGATTATAGTATAATGGGCCCCCAAACCCTATTCTAATAAAAATAATTACCTAGACTCTTGTGGGGGTTCCTTATTATGATTATAGTATAATTGTGGGCCCCAAGACCCTATTCTAATTATTAAGGCCCCTATATTACAGCGCCTACTTCGACCTTAAGCCTTACAACCGATGATAACCCCAAGACCCTAGAACCAAAAGCGAGGTCGAGCCTTGACAAAGGGATCAAACGCAGGATGTGGCGCTGCCTCACCGGGACAGACCCGTCTAGTAGAGTCTAGGGCTTTTGAGTTTGGGTTGCTTTACTGGGCTTTGAAGTAACCAGGGAGAAAAAAGTATAGACTTTTAGTTTATAATGGCTCCTTTAAGGAACAATAAGTCCCAAAAGAAAATATTAAAGGCTCCTTTAAGGAACAATAAGTCCCCAAAAAAAGTATTAAAGTATGGTACTCCAAAACCCAGATTTAGGGTCTAGGAAGGGAATTTCAGTTTCGGGGCTAAGAGTGGGGTGTGCCTGGGTAACTGTTGTGAGGTACCACCAGGCTAAGGCGTTGCTTCCGCCCGGTTCCTCACAAAGGCCATGCATCATCCCTAAACCCTAAACCTGGGGTCTCTGGGCTCACGGTGCAAGGGGGCGTTGGGTGACGCGTCCACGGTCTCGAGCTGTAAGACGAAACGAGCTTCAGACGTTCGGGGCTTGGAGTTTAACCATGCTTAGGGTTTAGGGTTTAGGATTTAGGGTTTAGGGTTTAGGGTTTAGGGTTTAGGGTTTAGGGTTTAGGGTTTAGGGTTTAGGGTTCAGGGTTTAGGGTTTAGGGTTTAGGGTTTAGGGTCTTTCCGGTTTC